CTATCATGGACAGTTTGACATCAGACTCATGAACAAGTATTGTACATCTGTTCCACTAAAACGTTCATGAGTTTCAACATCCCACTGTTTCTTTAGTGACTGATCATGGGTGTATTCAACAACTAGTAAAAGCACTTTTCTACTTCACATATCTGCATAAACAGAAAAGTGAGAAGATGAAAAGTCAGACAGTGCTACCTATCTGAACAAAGTCTGTCTCTGCTTTACTTTGTGTTATACCTGATATATGACAAAGAACATGATCTGCTGAATTGTGAATTTGTTCTGACACATTATGCAAATCAGAAGTTTCAATTCCCTGTTGTAATCTCTTATGCACTGCCATCTTAGCTGAAAATGTATCTTTAAGAAACATGTTTTAAACATGAAATGCAAATTTACTATTCATCCTTCAGAAAAAAGACTGATTGATGGTTGGAAAGAAATCAACCCAGAGACAAAACTACTGATAAATCCTGTGTCATTTGAATGGCTGAATGTTTCTGTACAGAATGAACCATGGCCTTGAGGAGTTATAAGATATAGCGGTTATTGTCTAGGCTCTGGAGTGACGTCAATCCACTCAACCAGACTCAAATTAAAATATATACTAGATTGCACAGAAAATCTTTCTCAAAACCAAGAAAGAAGAACACAAACAGTACACAAATTAATCAACAAACTAGCTGACATACAGTTTACCCAAAGGATCAACTGCAGACATGCATAGTGTGAACAGATTCATTAAGGTTTTATAGAGGGCAGGCTTCTTCAACTGTACCATTAAGGTGCTCCCAGGTTCAGTGTTTTTTCCCTTTCTTTTGCCAACATTCACATTTAACAATCAACCAGACAACTCCATAGTCTCACCTACACTGCCACCATTATTGACAGTTTACTGCAGGGGTGTCAAAAGTCGGTCCTGGAGGGCCGGTGTCCTGCTGACTTTAGCTCCAACTTGCTTCAACACACCGGCCAGGAAGTTTCCAGTATACCTAGTAAGTGCTTGATTAGCTTGTTTAGGTGTGTTTGATTAGGGTTGTAGCTAAACTATACAGGACACTGGCCCTCTAGGACAGAGTGTGGACACCCCTGGTTTACTGTTTGCAGCATCACCCTAATCTCAGCCTCAATCATGTTTGTTGAAGGTTTCGATTTAACATTTTGGTAAAATAACAATATAAAATTAAGAAGATATGTTGGAAAATAATGCTTTACAGGGTGGTCATAATCCAGGCATTAATATTATCATATGGAAAATGTCTATTTTGTAATTAAATAAGAATAAGAAAAGGTGAAAAAGTAGTATTTTCTACACCAAAAAGTCAAAGTCAAAAGTAAAACAAATGAACAACTGCTTAATTGCTTCATACACATACTGTAGATCCAGCAGCCATGCTAAAGTGTGAAATTACACTGGTAAGACTGGCAATAAACAAAAGCAATTAATTCTGCCAAATAAAGACTAGAGCTATTCGTACCAGAGAAATGAAGCAGTCCATTTGACGGGCAGTTTTGCTTTTTTACCTTATTCCAATGGGACTTTTACTGCTTCACATGGAAGATAGTGTTAAAAGGACTAAACAGTGCTGCCATCTATATTAATTATTTATATATTTATAGGCATGAAAACAATTACTGATGCACAACTGAACATGAAAATTTTTAATCATTTTAATAATCTAAGTTTTTGTAACTGTAATGGTCTTTTAGTGGGTTTTCAAACTTGATCAGTTATATCAGTTATATCATGATCGTTTAAAGAAACTCCATGAGTGTTTGGTTGTGAGAAGGAAGGTCATTTTTATAAAGCTAATCTAGCCAAATCATGGATCTTTTTTGTTGAAAATAACTGTATTTGAACTGTGGTAATTTGTCATTAAGATGCTTACATCTGCTGATAAACATTATCATATTTAACATATCATATTTAACATAAAGCCAGAGTGCCCAGCAATGTAAATCTTGTAAATCACAAGAAGTAAAGACATTTGCTTGATTATACTCCACTGGCCAAGCAGCCTTTGCAATGCAACTAGAAACATTTATGAATGTGTACAAACAACTGCTATTGTTGTTAACCGCCTTTAATATGTTCAAAAAACATTTAATCTGGTTTATAGAGAATCAGACATGTCATCATTCCTATTAGAATGAAACTAGCATGTTTCCATTTGTACCTACCATCTTAATGATTTGTTGTTTAAATGTGTTTCAACTATGTTTTATCTCTATTACAAAAAGTTGGTGTTTAAGTTTATTTTGTATATATTAATTTGTTATTAACATCTACATAACTATATATTTTAGTAATTCTTAACTATGTTTGATTGATTGTATAATACTTGTATTGTTTTCTTTTACGTTGTTTAGGGACAACAGATGAAAAATAGCCTTCTGGCTAATTCTGGTACATTTGCAGAAATGCTAATGTACACTGTCCCTGCCAAATAAACTAACAAATAAATAAATAAATTTATAAATTGTTTGCTAGTTACAACCCAATTTGCTTTTTTAAAATGCTGCCCCTTATTTTTTGTTAAGACTTAAAACGACATCTGTGCTACAGAAGGCCATGCTTTGTTTACCCTAAACAGAGCATGTGAACAAATACAGAATTCATGGACTTCCACTGAATGTAAACCTGACTTATACAAACACCACATTTGAAAAGAATTACCTTCAAAATGACTGAGCAAAGCATACACTAACTGTATTATTGCAAGCAAGGTGGTACAGACTTGCTTCTCTCGACAACAAGGGATAATCAAACATGATGAACAAAAAGACTGAGCTCAACTCATCCAATAAAAATGGTAAACACATCTATAGTAACAGTGATTGATCATAGGCACAAACCTTTTAGTTATAGCAACAAACAAATAAAAGATGTTCAGTTCCCTGAGTCACTAATATTTATAATAAGCACATATTTTGTGGCATAACATAAAACTCAGGCTATAAATCTGAAGGGATGATTCTACCTTCAGATCTTTTGATCCTTTGCTGTGTTATACATGTATATACTGTTCACCAAAAAAATGATCCAAAACAGTCTACTTTTTTCTTGGACTGAAAACATCCACAATTTGATGAATGCACATATACAAAAAGGTCTGGTCCACATTGACTATCCTAGGATTCTTTTATTTTTCTTTTATTTTTCTTTTTTTACCAAATTATGGAATTAAGATGCCTACATTCTTGAAAAAATGTATTTTAAGAACAACACAAGCGCACATATCATTGCATTACCAACAGCAGTTATCTTAGGAAAGGGGTGACCAAACTGCATATTTTAGTTCCAACCCCAATTAAACACACCTGAACCAGCTAATTAAGCTCTTTCCAGGTATACTTGAAACTTCCAGGCTGGTGAGTTGGAAGAAGTTGGAGCTAAACTATGCAGGACACCGGCCCTCCAGGACTGAGTTTGGACACCCCTTTCTTAGGGGGATTACAATTAGGCTTTGTTCCTTTAAAGAATCTGCACATAGCTATTTAATGAGCAGTTAACTTTATTTTTGTCCAGCTCAGTTCATAGTTCAAGATCTGCTTCTTACAAACTCAATCCTCACAAATGCTGTGGTTTAGGTCTGTAATATGCTTTAAAATATTCAAATTCACATTTGCATGAATTCCATTTTTACAAAAAATGTCATGTTTGAAAAACTGAAAGCCTTTAAAAGTGTTTACATTTACCAAAACATTAATTAATTTCCCTTCGGCTTAGTCCCTTATTTATCATGGGAATGAACCGCCAACTATTCCAGCATATGTTTTACGCAGCAGATGCTCTTTCATCTAAAACATAGTACTGAGAAACACCCATACACTCTCTCATTCACACGTGCACTCATACACTACATCTAATTTAGTTTACCCAATTCATCTACACTACATGTCTTTGGATTTCGGGGGTAACCGAGCACCCATAGGAAACCCACGCAAACACAGGGAGAACACTAAGAACTCCATTACCAAAACAGTCTGTATATAAAACACTTACAAAGATATGTAACCTGTATCTCTTTGCTTGCATGTTAGGTGACAATCAACTGAAATCAGACAACTGTGAACATATGGAAAACAATGTGTTGTTAAATTACTAAATGGGGTCTTTTATGTGAATGTGTTGTTAAAGTGGTTTGAAATTGATCTATGGTGCTGCATCTGTTAGGGGTAGATATGGCCAATGAAGACCATTTAAGGGCACTGCCCCATTGTCAAACTGTTTATACCTAAATGTACATGTTTTGCACTTTTATTTCCAGCAGTATATATATATATATATATATATATATATATATATATATATATATATATATTTGAGTCAGAATTATTAGCCCCCCTTTGAATTTTTTTTTCTTTTTTAAATATTTTCTAAACGATGTTAAACAGAGCAAGGAAATCTTCACAGTATGTCTGATAATATTTTTTCTTCTGGAGAAAGCTTTATTTGTTTTGTTTCGGCTAGAATAAAAACAGTTTTTAATTTTTAAAAAAACCTTTTAGGGGCAAAATTATTAGTCCCTTTAAGCTAATTTTTTTCTCGATTGTCCACAGAACAAACCATCGTTATACAATAATTTGCCTAATTACCCTGACCTGCCTAGTTAACCATATTAATTTAGTTAAGCCTTTAAATGTCACTTTAAGTTGTAGAGAAGTGTCTTGAAAAAGATCTTGTAAAATATTATTTACCGTCATCATGGCAAAGATAAAATAAATCAGTTATTAGAAATAAGTTATTAAACTATTATGTTCAGAAATGTGTTGAAAAAAAATCTTCTCTCCAATAAACAGAAATTGGGGAAAAAAATGAAACAGGGTGGCAAATAATTCAGGGGGCTAATAATTCTGACTTCAACTATATATATATATATATATATATATATATATATATATATATATATATATATATATATATATATATATATATATATATATATATAATAACAATAAAAATAGTTTTTGTAAGAGGAGATAAGTTCTCTCACCAGTTACCTTGATACTGTGTTTATGGGCAGCATCCATTACAGCAGGCACTAGATCCTCTGAGGGTTTGCCATGTTCATCTGCCACACCAGGTGGGTACCAGGACAAGACCACCACACCTGGCATCAGAAGTGTAAATACATTCTTCATTTTAAACCTTGAATTTTAAGGATGAACTATCATCATCATCATCACTAAAGCAGAACTCTTCAAATTGTATTTTGACTAAAAAAACCTGCAGCTGCAGCTTCGATTTGTGCCATGTGAGATTCAATGACTTCTGGATCTCTGGAGCTGTAGGGTCCAAGTTCAGGATAATAACTGGACGCAATGTCATCCGGAGGATTGTGTCTTCCTTTAGGGTGACTGGCTGCTATTTTGGGGTCCCAGTGTGGTACCAATACGTGGTCCCAGTGTATATAACTACTGTCCATCTGTGGTGAGCCATACCATAAATAATAGAATATGTGAATGTCATAGAATATGCTGTGATCAGGACCAGAGTTGGAGAACACGATCTTGGTGTCACTGTGCAAACCACCATTTTGACCTGCTGATTCTATTAAATGATTGGGTCTCTGTTCCATTCGCTCTCCAACCAAAGGCATCAGCTCCATTCCTGGTGCAAGATCTGAGAAACCATCAGTGGGCTTAAGTGTTCTTAGGCCCATCATAGTGCCAAAAATGAACAGAGTGAACAATAACAAAGCCACGCACGCTTTTCTGCGTAACCTGTTCATGGCCGCTGTCCCTGGTCCTGGAAAAAGCAGTCCAAATAGAGGTTAAAACGGTCGAGGCCTCCAAAAGTGGCTTGTGAATTTCTTGTGTTCCATTTCGCCCCCTATAAGACTTAGCGTTTGACACTCTGGATTGGTTGCTTATTGGTCTCTGCTAAGAACCCATTATTTTTTCATACATTAGCAAATTAAGAAGATTCTGAAAAATAACTACATCCGATGAGGACATTAAACTGATTCCCATCATTCCACATTATTTATCAATGTATATTCACAACTGAGCAGTAGATATTAACAAATTAACAATGCACAAGCATATGCTTTGATAAGTCGCACACGCCCGTTTGAATCCGACGCAGATATCCAAGCACTCATGCCTTTATCACAAGCATCAATACATCAGTCTCCATCGTTTACTTTGTGCTGCTTCCCACTCGCAAAACTGAAGGCTGGTTTCCCTCTCCTGTTGTGATACATACGCGTGAACCTTTCCTCAATCCCTCTCCGCAGTACAAAACACTTTCCACATCATATGCACCGGCTATGTGAAAGCATCGGCTGATTTCCTAGCCTCTGTCGCCAGTGTGCTCATGATAAATCATCTCTTGTTACTGGAAGGTGGAGTCTTGTGGGTTTGTCACCATGCACGCATGCTCGCGCAGGCACACTGGCTGTGTTCGCAATGGCGTGATGCTTACTGTATACTAAATAGCACAGACTCAATGTGCATACTATTCGCTTAAAAATATATGCAATATGCATTTCAGTTAGCATACCAGTAAGTAGCATAATGTAAATATTCCATTACACTTTGGTAAAGATGTTGGTCATCTACTATCATAGTTGTTATTTTATTGATATGAGTAGGAAAATATGTTGTTTATTATTATTTTTTCTTTCTCTCTTTAATATTTAATTATTAATCTTGTCTTATAAATTTAAATTCACAGATAATAGATTAGGTGTGCAAAATTATTTTTGTTCCGATCGTATTTCAAATATACAACTGATTCGAACTCATCAACCGTTTCAGCAGTTATTTTTTCCAAGAGGTTCTCAAAAACAACAGTCAAATTATTTATATTATTTAAAACGTTTAATGATAACATTTAGCGCACTGCAATGACATCTAGCGGAAAACAAAGCAATACACGTCTGTTTTTCAGCGAATTCTGTTTGTCTCTCGTGTGTTCCACGATGGTAGCACGTCTTCAGCGCAAATATATGAAGAGTTCAGATGCAAAAACCTCTAAATGCCATCAGAAATTTTCTCCTAAAATTAGCATTTTCTCAGCCTTAGCCTATGTTTAGCCTATGTTTAATTATTTCACTTTAAAGGCAATGAAAATAACTTTTTAATCACCATAAAAGTAAAATTTATGAGCACAAACACAAGAGACAAAAATGCAAATTTTAGAAAAAATTATCAAACGTTATTTAGAGTTTTAAGCAACTAAAACTAAACTATCTAAACTCTTCATACGTTCCTGAATGATTGTTATAACTTTATATTGGTTTATTTTGATTAAACTTTTTATACACTTCTAAAAATTCGTAAAAGTTTAAGGAAATTACAGAAATATGCCTTATGAACGAGTGAATATGTCAAATTCAGAAGAATACATTTCTACAATTATTTCATGACAATTACTGAGTAGACTCAACTAATGTAGTGTTGAATAAATGAATTAATAAATAAATAAGACCGGTACTGTAGATTTTAACTTTATACACATTTAGGTATTTAAACAGTTTAATTTTAAGGCAATAAATAGAAAATAAAGCACATTTTTGCTTGAACACTTGAGTGGAATTCTGTTCAAATTAAAATGTTATTTAATAAAAGTGGAGCATGGAACATAATAAATTAGTCTGATGTGAATCTGTCCTCCCCTTCAGTGTGCCAAGGATGGTACAGTCTGTTTCCATACTCTCTGTGAACTGTTCAACAGCCTGCTTGCCACACACACAGTGAAGATGCCCTCATTCACACCTGTTCTGTTCAAAACAAACATGATACATACAGAAATGAAAACCATCTTGCTGTAGGGGTACCTATTATTGGTAAGTGATGCTTTTATCTAGAATATTATAGTTAATATTATACATGTTTTTTATTGGATTGAACATGAACAACCATGATGTTGCGATTTAGAATTTTAAACAATAGTTTCTTAAAACAGTTTTTGAAGTATTTTTACTTTGACTGTACTGTTTTGTTAAAGTTCATGTGAAATTAATCTCAATAGAAATATACTTTAAACATTATTAAGATGTTGTAAAGTTGTATAAGTTATGAGAAAAATGCTATAATATATGTTTATATATATAACAAAAACAATAAACCAAAGTTATTTTACAATTTGTGTGCATGTATGTTAATATTAATATATGAACACAAAATTATATTTCATCTGGTTCTTGCTATTTTGTATGTCTTTATGTCAAGTACATGCTATCTTTACTTTAAGTTGTATTTCAGGGAAAAAACAGTCATCATTATCCTTTTCTATCATTGTTTACTCAGCCTTCATGTGTCACAAACGTGTTTTTTTTCTTCTAGCATTTTTCACAATACCTTCTTTTGTGTTCTCATAAAGGTTTGGAGTTGAAGTTAAACAAATAGTGAGTGAATTTTCATTTTGTGTAAAATATCCCTTTAAATAAACAGCATTGTACATTAACTATTTTACTGTCTAAATCAAAATATTTTGCTTTAACATACTTGTAAAAACTTAAATAAGGCTTCCTTATTTGTGAATACTTGCCCAATGACATTAATCTTCATATGATGTAAATTGTACTGCAGAATGTCAATAAGTTTACAACAGTAGGGCCCTTTAAATACTTCCCCCAGTGTCCAGTAAAATCAGATAGCACCTCATCATTATCATAAAGCGATGAGACAAGCTTCTTCTCTGAACTGCTGTTCTCTTTCTGGAATGATCTCTTCGACCAAATGAGTCACTGTAGAGCAGAATAAGAGTCTCATCATGTATGCGTTCAGCCTTGTCTCTTTACCCCCCACCTAGTGTTCTAGGACATGCAGCTATTATGCTGTGCAGTGGAGAAGAGCAAGGGATGCATAAACATGCATTTCCTAATTTTTGATTCTCAGCAACATGTGGTTGTTGTGTAAGATCTCTCAGTGTGGTATTCTGGGTAATTCAGCACAGTCAGCCCACGCTTTTCCTTGCTTTGTGGGATTCTTAGGTTGATCTGTATTTACTGCCTTTTTGTTTTGACCTTGACAAGTAATTTAATCATCTTGCAGTCTCACATCATCTCCTTCAGTCTGTCTTAGAGAGAACAGCTTGTTTCCTGTACATACGTCTGTATTAGTCCATGATATATATATATATATATATATATATATATATATATATTTTTTTTAACAGTTAATTTTATTGTTTAGAAAAAATATACTATTGTTTTGACAAATATACTATATATCTATCAAGGCTATAATGTCACTAAAATTATTAAATGAAATTGCACCAAAGAAATAAAAAGAGTGGAAAATCGTACTTAATCTAAGTAATTCTTTCTGTTTTTTTCATGTGATGTTTTTTTATTTATTTATTTTTTTATTTAATAGTGTTTCATGTACTTAACCTAGCATATTTAACCTAGCATTTCATAACCACAGTGAATTAAACCCACAAAAACACATTATTGAATACATGCAAGAAAACAAATGATATGTTTTCACTTTTACACTGTTAAGCTTTTGCATTGTGCACAGTGCCACACAAATAGAAATTCCACTCTCCTTTAGTTACGCCGTCAAGAGTAAAGGATGTTTCTAGAGAGACAAAGGGGCTGTTTGCCACCCAGGTTTAAGGGTCCCTTTTTGCATATTAAACAAGATTTGTGCTATTGATCCATTTATTTCCTGGCTGATATCAATATCAAAAGCTGAACAAAGTACTAATCTAATGCCAGTGACATTTTAGAATTTAACAGTGACACATAAAATGAGTTAATGAAATTAAACACATTACACACCATTTCATTTAGATTACACAATTAGATTATTGTTAATTAGACACAATTATGAGCTAAAAGCAATAACCTCAGAATATTTGTAAAAAAGAGTATACCTATCATTGAAATAATATACTGCATTTTCAGAGTACTTTTTAAGTAATTTAGTAGTATTGAGCCACAGCCATATTGCCCTGCAGCCCAAGACTAGTTACTCAATGAAGCTAAGCATGGCTGAGCCTGGTCAGTACCTGGATGGGAGACCAAAACTAGATTGCTGTTGGAAGTGGTATATTAGAGGGGTGCTCAACCTGTGGTCTGTGTGCTGCACTGGTGCCGCTGTGCTGTGGTTTCTGTCGCATCATCCAAGTTGATGCTGCACACTGGTGGTGTTGTGAAGAGACCCCCCTCATGATTGTGAAGCACTTTGGGTGTATACATGATAATTGTGTTATGTAAATACACATTACATCACATTCATCTTTATTCACTAGTTATATGGTGGCAATAGTATGATGGGTTCACTTTAAATATTTTCATTGTGTTTTGATGTTTTTGAAAGTGTTGTGAGAAAATGCAGCGCATATTTGTAAACTGTTTGCGATGTGAGAAAAACCAGTGTATTTTATTAATTAATTGTGTTGTATGAAAATGCAGCATGTGTTTGCACTGAGGATTTGCAGCACATGTGATGTCAAATAGATGATCTTTTCTTAATTTGCTGGCATTTTTGTAATTGCATGTATATTCTTAAATTACAGCACGTTAAAGATCTATTGGCCACCGTAATTAACAGACACTTTTTATATATATATATTTATTGATTTCATTTCATTAAGTTAGATACTAACAAAAATATGAGTTTTAGGTGTCTTTTGAACATTGCAAGCAGTCTATGTGGTATTGGGAACATTCCACCAGCGAGGAACAGTAAATCAAGACAGCTGCAGGTCAAATTGTGACCTATGCGAAATTTTACTGTGGTGCCCCCGAAGAGGAACGAAAACACACAAACATATGTATAAACATGTATTTATTTATTTATTTATTTATTTATTTATTTATTTATTTATTTATTTATATACATAAATATGCATATAAACAGTCAAAATTATACTTAAACTTTTAAATATTTACATTACAAAATCATAGTTAATATTAATATCAAAATAATTATAAAAAAAACAAACTCTGACATGTGTTCTGCAGAAGCATTCCCAATTTAAAACATTTACAAAAGGAAAGGAATAAAACCCTCTCTGTACCTCTAGAGGTTGACATTCCTACATGCTGCATCTTGTGTCTGTACCTGTGCAGCTGCTGGTGCCTCTGGAGCATTGCTGATCATTCCACCTCATCTTCTTTTGTGACAAATTTCAGCATTGAACCTATATGTTAACCAATATCTCTTTCTATTGTATCTTAACAACCAAAATGTGGATTTAACTTATCTTGTACAATAATCTATGGTTTGTGGTTTTTAAGAATTAATGAGTGTATTTTTGAATAAAAAATCATGCAATAAAAATAGTTTGTGGTTTACAGTAATTTGACTCATTTTATATTATTGATCTTACAAAAATCACAGAATATTAGTCAGTTTTGTCATTTCATATAGTAATGTAAAAAAAAACAAAAAAAAAACTGATGATCCACTGATGTAAAGACTAAAGAGACTTTAATGTCATTGCAAAATTAAAACAACAACATTAAGTTGACTTGGCAGCCCTCAACAGCTGCAATAAGAAACATTGAAGTAGGCAAAACAATAAACAACGATAACTGCAGCAAACTATATAATATATAATCATATGATATGATATAACAACTATATAATATTAAATAATACATACAGTGAAATAATTGTGCAGTGCATGTGTATGTAGCTGGTGTGTAAACAGAACTGTAAAATATTGCACAAGTTAATAATAATAACGGAGTTTGTGTAATTTTCAACAACATGGGAAAGAGGCAAATGTAAAGGTGGGGGGGGCTTGGGGGGGGGGGGGGGGGCAGGAGACACTGTGACCAATAAACACACATCATCTTATCATCTATGTAGTGTGATCTGTATTGTGCATGTGTGTTTGTGTAATGTTAATTTGTTTTTGTTTTTTATAAAGATTAGCATTTTGATTATGTAAAAATTTCACTTTTATGTCAAGCCCATATCATCTTCCCATTCACACTGAATTAACCACAGACACATTTTCTTTTAAACATCATTTATTAACCAAACATAGAAAGTTTACATACACTTACCAGTTTCCATTTCTCAGCACCAAACCTGTTTAATGTTCAGACAAAGCCAATTATACAGTTTTTTCCCGCCTTCACTTAGGAGCAGCCATTTTTGCATGACATTATCAGGGTCACAACCCCCTGGTCAGTGAATAAAAATCACAGTTTTGTTGTTTAAATTTGTATTGGTTATTTGTTGTGTTGTATTTTGAGATTTGTATGCATATTGATTTACTTGCATTAATTTATTATTATTTTTTTATAGTTATTTTGTCATTTTCTCCTTTTTGCTGGATTTTTGTCTTTATTTTGTGTACAATAAATCACTCTTCACTTTCACCAGCAGCTTTTGTGACACTTTTTGTCTCCATCCGCTCGATCAATCGTAACAGTGCCTGCTTGGAGTTGGTGCCCTACTCAACCTGTGTACTCTGCATGTAATGAGGCAGATTTTATGCTGTCATGTAGCAAACAGCAAAAATGTAACTACGAACTTTTTAATAACTGATGAAATGGTAACTCACATGCACTTAACACAGAATTCTAGTGTCAACACTGCATTTCTCACTTGCCTTCTCTCCTATAGACACTCTGAATAGTAGAATGCCATCTTGTGGAGCATCACTATAAAGGCATCACAGCTGTGAATCTGAAGCTTTCTGGAGGATATGTATTTTTGTGGACATACATGGAATAATACACATAATGTGTAGTTTACACACAATACACACACTGCAGTGGAGCAAAGCCTTTGGCAGTTCTGTATGTAAGCATTGGAATTTTGTGTTTGATGCAAGCTTTAACTTGTAGCCAGTGCTGAAATACGAAGGGAGTTT